AGTCAACCCGAACAGTTAGACAGAGAAAAATCCTCCAAGCGCATCTCGACCTCCAGCGCATCGCCACCCGCTGCCGCGAGCCGCCGCCCGCCGGCCCCAGCCCCGCCACAGGCTACAGCGCGCCGCCACCGCCTACCCCGCCGGCACTCCTACCCCTACCCCAAGTGCCTCCCACGCTCGCTACGTTCTACTGCCGGCGACACTCGACGCCGCGGCCGTTGCCGGCTCCCACACCCGCGGGCCTTTATCTCCACGGCGGCGGCCGCCGCCGCCCTGCTCGTCCAGCGGGCTGGCCCTGTCCATGGGGCGTAGGGGCTACCCGCGCCCTTCGACGCCCGCACGCGCCTCCTTCTGCCCTTCCGCCGCGGACGATGCCGACTTCTCTGAGTCTAATGCGATCCTGGTGGTGGCCACGCCCTGCGAGAGTCTGCTGCTGCTCAGCCCAGCGTCTTGCCGTGGCGGGCGCATGTCGTTGGAGCTCTGGTTGTCGGTTCCAGAGTCGGGTGGTTCCACACAGGGGCGCATATCCCGTTGTGCCACCAATCACTTAATTCGGCTCTCTTGAGCTGCCCGGCTTCGGCGGCGAAGATGATGGCGATGCCTAGGACATAACGGCCACATAGGATGAAACTAGCAGAGATGAAGAAGGCGGTGGTCGTTGGGAGGAGAAGATTGCTCGGAAGCTGGAGGACGTGCACCAGCTGCGGTTGCTGGACAACCGCTACGTTTAGTGGCTGAGGGAATTGTTGGGCTACGAGAATCAGTCGCTGATAAGAGGGCTGAGGCTGAGAAGATCAAGAGGGATCAGAGATTGTGCTCAATTGTTGGTGGTCAGGACGTCAGGTAACAAATTTTCTGGCACATTTTGCTTTCTGAATATTTGGAGGTTGTTTTATAGGCCTTTATAAGTGATTCTTAGATAAATGTATGACTATTTAAGTTGAGCTATCGAAATGTTTCAATTGGATATGTCACGTGAATGAATTTATTTCCTCACTTGCATGAGATGGAGCCATAAAAGGGATATGACTCAGCATCACCACCTTCACTGTTTTGATCTCAGTTTGTCCAACTATGCGCCAACTGAAGTATGACACTAAATCGTCTGTTGTATATTATCTACTCCCAGTGGAGTCCTGAAATTTTAACATACAACTACATTCAATATGTGCCCAATGGATATTTCGTGTGTGCACTAGCATCAGCACACTCAGGATGATTTATGTGTAAGTGGTTCAAATTAAAAATAATAATCTGCATACATAGTTTACTCTGGTTTCCCTCTCTATCTTGCTGGAACAACCCTGCTCGTGATTGGTGTTCCGATGGTGCGCGTTGTGTTGGTCGTAATCGCTGGAAACCTCACTCGGCTTTGCCCATCTAGCCTGAGTTGGTCTTTAAGGCAATGCTTACTAATTTTATTTTGTGAAGTTTGCAGGAGTTATCTGAAGAAAGGACTCACTATCTGGTTAAATGTTCCATTGGATGCCCTTGCAAGAAGGATTGCTGCGGTGGTTCAGCGTCATTACCCCTCCTGCATCAACAATCTGGTGATCCATATGCAAAGGTAGGTAGCTACTGAGGCTCTTATCTATTTCTGCAATTTCAGTGTGGCATGCGAACAGAGCTAATAATGTGTTGTTTTCTTATGCAACCCTATGCAAAACTTACATCATTTTCTGAACAAAGAATAGACTCATATGCCAATGCTGATGCCCGAGTTTCCCTTGAAAGTAGTTTAATAACACCAATATACATAATTCTGGTTTTCATTCCAGTGCTCGATGCTACTACAAAGATGCACACAGTTCACCGATATGATGCTTCTAGCTCCCTGTAAATACAATTATCCATAACGCAAACATTGCATTCAGAAATTGGCATAATGACTTGGCCAAGATGATCTTTTAAACTATGTTTGTCTAGGATTTCTACCTTCCATTCTTGATATAGATGGAAGCTTTCTTTTTGAGAAGGCCGCGGTTAGAACCTCATGGTAGATTGTCGGCAAGATCAAGGCCTACCAGCCCCTTTGCACCGTGCTATATTGTGAGTCCTGAAAAGCCGTTTAGATAACAACAGCAGCATTGTGAATGAGGGAAAAGAGTTTTCCAGTCCTCTTATTTGGAGGTTCACTTTGAAAGAGAACAGCTTTGGTGTGGCACAACTATTCTGTACTATATCGCACAGCTATTGGGGATCGTTCTTTAGTAAAACAAATCTGTACTATATCGCACTTCTATTTGATTGGCGTGGCACAATTATTCATTTTAGGAGAGTTGAGACTTCTATCTCATAAGATATTCAATGGATATTATGTTAAACTATTCTACCTCGGTGTTTGCCCAGAAGAAACAAACTCATGTGAGTGATATTCAGTAGCCTTATAGTAGCTATTTGTGAGTGAGTTCGCCTGCATCCTTAATGTATATTGTGGCTTTCGCAGGTTCAGAAGAGCTATTTTGTGTACATGAGTTGCTACTGGCAGTGGACAGATTGTCTATGCAGAGTGCGTAGAGAAAAAAGTGAGTGGTTCAATTTTATGTGATGGGAATTTTCACAAGGCTCTTAAATTTTGGAGAGAAATAAGCCCATAAAGAATTCAGAACTGTGCTTTAACATGATGCACCATTAACTTATTTTTTTAGATGCTCACATACAAACACAAACGACATCCAGTAGGCGCTTGGAACACCCGACAGATTGAAAGCACAGAAGCAAAGATTTCCAATACGAGGCCACGATGCCCGACAGAGATGTAGCCAATATGTGCCCAATCCTTATTTCTTGATGTTGGAACAACAAGTAAGAGCATGTTCATGTTTACTTATTATGTTTTTTGAGAAATTTATGGGATTTACAAGCTCAAATTATTGACTGCTTCAAAATATGTTTTAACCAAAACTGTTTGCACGATATTTCCCTGGTTCTGCATTCATGGAATTGCTAAAAAAATGAACAAGTTCAGTGATAGTTTTGTTCCTATTAATATTTCGTCCAAGGTGCCAGTTTGTTTCTTAAGTTTTTCTTTTAACTTCAAAATTCAGAGGAAGTCAATGTTTGTTTTATAGTTCAAACCAATCACTGGTAAGATCTATTCCAAAACGATATTGTCTCTTGATGCGAGGTTACCAAAATATATTCTTCATCATGGCCAAAGATAAATTTAATTCCGGGTTAAAAACTTTAGAATAACTGTGTTTATAGATTTTCTAGCTAAGGGTTGCTTTTGTTTAGCTGGAACTCAAATCATAATTAGATGTACCTAAAATGATGATTTCGGCTCCGTGCTAGCTATTTCTGATTTTGAAGCTATCCTTGCACATTACATTATACAAGTTGAAAACTGTGCGGAGTGGAAGTTGGTACTAAAGCGGACTGCTCTTTTTGATCTGCACACAAATTTCTGTTATAATATGTGCCACTCATTTTGTTACCAAGTTGGGATGATTTTTACCACTTTGTTTTAATTCAGTAATTCCCGCGCTCACCTAATATTCTTTTAGGATGCTTCCCATCTCGACAAATTTATCATACCACAATTTATGCATAATGATACTTCCTCTGTCCCAAAATTCTTGTCTTGGATTCGTCTAGATATGGATGTATCTAATATTAAAACATGACTTGATACATCCGTATTTAGACAAATTTAAGACAAGAATTTTGAGACGATGGGAGTAAAATACTCATGGCAGTATGCCAAACGCATTTTAGTATATTCCCGTTGGTTATGTAGTGATTTTTAGCACAAAAATGGGACCCACTGCCATTATAGGTATGAGGAATTACAACCCGGTGCTGGGAGGGGATCGCAAAAGCTGTGTGCTAGAGTGTAATGCACAAGCAATCTGTAGATTTTTTTGGTGGAGGGGCTTAATAAGTCTTTTGCCCCCTCAGGAAACTATGTTCCGTGTTTGGTCCCTCCAGGCATTCCTGTGAGACTCTGCCTCTGATGTAATGACCAAGCTCACCACCTTGGGGTTGATCACATTCGTTGTGAATAGGTGGACGATGTGACCATTATCGACAATGTGGTGAGCAGGAGAAGTGGAAATACAGACTATGACGTACAAGGATTTGTTTCTCCCGTTGCAACGCACGGGCCCTTTTCCTAGTAATAATAATAATAATAATATAATATAATAATAATAATATAATAATAATAATAATAAACCACCGATTGCTTCTGGTCGTACGTCGTCAGCGATCTTACAAAAAAGCCCCTCTATTTTCAAGAATTCAACCTGTAGTCCCTGTTTAAGTGGATCGGGGAAAACGATTCGTTTTTGCACAAAACACCCTGTCGTTTGGATTATTCAACCCGTGGTCCGAGCAAATTTGAGTAGAGAAAAAAACACGACCAAAGGAGGAGAACGGGCTCGCCTCCTCTCCCTCTCGCTCAAGTCCTCGCCGCCGCCACCACCCACGCCGGCAGCTTCCGGCGAGCTCCGACGCCGCGCAGCACGCCCCCCAACTCCCCATAGTCCGCTCCTCCCTACCCTCCGGCCAGATTCTCCGCTCCCGGCCTCTACCGCCCGCTCGAAACGCCACCCCCATGGCTAGGGTTTCGGGCAGGGCTTCGCCGGCGCGTCTCCGGCGGCCCAGGTTCGTCCCTCCTTCCTTCTTGGCTGGGATCCACCACCCCTACACCTCACATTCTCTTCATGTCCTCTGCTGCAGATGCAGATGGAGCACGCCATGGGAATTCCCCATCCACCATGGTCGCCGCCATCAAGGGCTTCTTCACGGAGATGTGGAGGACGCCATGGACCTGCAGCTCCAAGGTTCTATCTTGTCCACATCCCCTCCCCTCCCCTTCCCGTCCCTTCCTCATCTCGTTTCCTTCCCTTCCCATGCAGGTCAACAGGGAGGAACCCTAGCCATAAGCACCTCCTCGGATGACGCCTCTGCTACACCAAGATAGGTCAAGCAACCCCCATCTACTCTCTGTCTCTCCCATTAGCACAAGTCCAGTTTTATTTTGAACAAAATTCTGCTACTACACAAACAAGTCCATTAACAGATCTATTTTTATTTAATTGATATCCTTCCAAACACAAACAGTGTATATATGATGTGCTATTTTCATTTTTGTGCTTTTATTTGTAAGCTCATAAAATAGTTACACTAGAAATGCCATGCAAGTTCTTAGTGAGCGAGTGGATTACACTTGTGTAAACCCAAAAGTGGCAGAGGCGAGTTTCCTCTTAAGCTTTGTAATATTCCTTATTTCTTCTTAACAGAGATATATATGATATCTACATGGCTGCTATGCTACTTTCTTTGTGTGATGAATCATTGTGAGTTTCGAAGAAACTTCCAATGTTACCTCCGCCAAGTTTGCCGGCAGAAGAAGCACATCCATTGAGCCGTTCAATGTCGCCTGCGGTGGCTACACCAGAGGTATGTATCCCCTTGAAAGCTAATCATTTGATAGAAATAGAAGCCCCTATTTCAGTTTATTGTTTCTGAATTGGTGCTACTTCTGATGGCTCTTGTTTCAGTTTATTGTTTCTGAATTTATACTTTGAATTTAGTAGATAGAAGCCCCTGAAATTTGACCCATCTATGTTATGTCACATCCAACAGATAAAATCATATTTTTGTGTGTGTTATGCACCAAGATGGCTTAGCATCAGATGTTACCTATGACAATTTATACTTTGTTTTGTGGAACAATTCATACAAGGGTGCACAATATGGCAAAGTACATACGCAATTCTTGTAATTCTAAAATAATATGTTGCCCAAAACGAACAATTTATGTAGTTGCAAATTTTACTGGAGCGATTTCCACCGAAGGAAGTGATGTTCACAGTCGTAGTTTTATGTTTTGATCTATTTTTCCATTTTTTTACAAGAGCGAACTCTACATGATGCAAGCTAACTCCCAGAGCTTATACACACTAACTGCTACTGACTCCCAAAGTGAACACATTTTATTGGATAACCGCTGGACATTTAGTGGCTAACTGAACAAAATCGATAATGTGTAAATTACTGAAACAAAAAGTGGACCGAGCACACAACGTTGTACTGGTGTGGTTTTTCAGTCGGCTAGCTTCTACAGTCATCCAAGAGTAACACTAACTGCTGGAGCCAGGGTAGAAAGATAATGAATGAATTCTGATTTACAGAATGATCTTGTTAAAGGGTAGAAAGAGCTTTTGTTCAACTTTTCCCTCGGATGTTGGTTTTACTTGCTGATAGTTAATCCCAATGTAACCTGTTTGTATTCATGTATGTAGGAGCTGATAGGCCTTCTTATTTGACTTGTAGATGCACACCAAGCATTTTTCTTTTGATGTACTTTACGCACCTATTTGTTCTGGAGATGCTCCTTTTGTGCATTCATTTCAGACATTATTTTATAACTTCCGTCCATTGAGAAATTCTGATTTAGTTGATTTATCTATGCACTTTGTGTTAAGTAAAGATAACCTTATGTGAAGAACTGAAGATAAGTCAGACAGGGTTACCATAACTTTTGTCCATTCACACAAATGCTGATGGCCGGGTTGTGTTGATCTGATTAGTGTTGGCGGACAATGTAGTTTCCGATTGCTCTTGTTTCAGTTTATTATTTCTGAATTGCCCAGTAGATAGAAGCTCGCTAGATTATGGTGATTAGTCCAACGTTGTTGGATATTTCTTCAATCAACATCAATCTGTGTAACCTTTCATTGGATGTAGGCCACTGGTACCTGCTGCTTTTTTGATAATAGTAAACTCCAGGAGTTCTCAGTTTATACATACTTTCATAGATTTGTGCAGTTCAGACAAGTAATACTAAATTGCTATAATTTTTTGATTTGTGATAGTGACCACCTGCGCATCGTCTCTGTGGCAGCTGTGTGTCGTGGCATACATACTTAAACTCTGAACTCTATTCAATGGTGTTGTAAAAACATTGGCTCATAGGTTTTGTTAGTAACTATTATTCAGAACATTTTCTTTTAACTCAAAGTCATTTGTGATTCACATCGAGAGTGTGGAGGGTTTAAGTCCAGAAATACTAGCTGACTGCCAATGAATTAATGATTAGACATTTTTAATCCTATTTACTTGTCCTCTAGGGTAACCATGGTAGCATCTTGAGCCCAAGAACAGTGTTACTGCCATTTAACGCCGCGATGTTTTAGCTCCAGGAATTTGGACCCTCCTGCGATAAGAATCAGTTGAAAAGGTTGGTCTATGCTACTTCTCTAAGGATGATTAGATGTGCTTTGTTGTTAATTGTAGTGATAGTGACTATGATTGAATTGGTAAGATGACAAATTGACAGTTATTGCCTGATGATCTTACTCTTTTTCGTCACATTGCATACTTCTTAGATGGGAATCATCGAATGTATACATATATGACAGTTATAACTTATAGGGGGGACACCATATTAACTGTATTTTATTCCTGATTGAGCAATCTTATAGGGGGGGGGGGATTATTTCTTTTATACATCTGGCATCAATTTGTTCCTTATGAGGAAGATTTTCATGTGGTAGTCATATGCTTTGCGTGCAACTGTTTGTATGCTGCAAACCTGGGTTGTGCAGGCAGCATCTGGTTTCTTCATTTGCTATTTTTATGTAGTTATGTTCTTGAAAGCAATTAAAATTTTCATCTTGCACCTGAGACAAACCTAGAATCTAGATCACAAGGGAAATATGATGTGAATCACTTTTTCTATTGTTTCTAAAGTTAGTTATGGTCGTCAGAATTTATTAAGCATCATATCTTTGATATGGCGGTCTACCTTTCCAAAAAGTTGTAGAAATTCTCACTTATTCTGCTTCAAGATGCTATAAGACTAGCTTAATCTGTAGCAAAGAACATTTTCTTACTTAACCTTAGTTTCACTCTGAACTAAATGTGTGTTTTCATCCTTTTTACAGGAAAATTCATGCAACAAGGATTTGACCCTAAACTCTTTTGATTATACAAACTACAAAGTGATCTAATTTCCATTTTCTCCCTATGCAGTCAATCAAAAGTCTTATTGGCACTTCTTGCTGCTACTACATTCATGATGACCACTGTGTCAAGCCTTCCAAGTATCTGCTCTCCTGATGTTTACACAAGGGAGACACTACTAAGGAAGCAGAACATGGAGAAGTTTTCTTGATGTTTACACAAGGGAGATGATACTAAAGAAGCAGATCGCGAAGAAGTTTCAATGAATTAGAGAGTTATAGATGCCAGCTGGTCCTCTACATATCTGTTACCTGATAAAAATAAGAAAAATGCATGTGCTGCATTCATTAGGGCTAATAGCTCTCAATTTTGCCAATGGTAATGGGCTGTTGGGTATCAACCGAATGACAATAGTGGCCTGAGGGGTGGTAACATGGTTGCCTCTTGCGGAATAGCCATTTAGATATTATTTTGTTGTGTAATCTTAATCTCCATCCAAATCATATTTAATTTGTATGTTAATCTTCTCCTGGTGGAACGCATGGGCATGTTTCCTATACCATATGTGTATGATTTAAAATCAATAAGCAACTCAAGAAGTGGGTCCTAGGAAGGAGAGAGAAGGAATTAAAAGGAGCAAATTCGGCTATTATATAAGCAGAAAGGAAATAAAATGTTCCACTCATAAGGAAAGATAAGGAATAAAAAGGAGTAAATTTGGCTCTTATAAAGCAGAAAGGAAAGAAACATAAATTTCGATTGTACTATCATGAGCGAGAAGGAAAGAGAGGGAGTAAAATTCGCTCTTAAAGGAATGGAATTATGAGGAAAAGAGTTAAAGAATGATGCTGTTGTTGGCTGTGAATGGGCTGAGACGAGGGACCAATTAAAATAAATGAGCATCATCGGTTGCACATGCACATATTCAATGGCCCTCCTCTTCTCACATTCACATACAAAAGGTTGGCTGGCACCTTCATATTTTTGATAATGTTTGTTTGAATCTTCTGTGGGTTATTATGCTTGGCCACATTTATATTACATCCAATATTATGTGTACTCATTTGATGTAAGGTTATTTTTAATAACTTTAATATTCAGTTTTTTTGTCGCGGATGAATTGATGAACCGGCGGTCCAACCGGTGACAGCCGCAATGGTTCGGTTGCCTGTTCGGTTCTTAAAAATTTCGATGGCCGTGGAGGAAGAATACGACATAGTTCGCTGCCGGAAACATGCCCAAGTTCATGATAGAGACGAAGAAGGTGATTGTTCAACATCCTACAAATCCGTTTGCATTTAAATATTTTGAATGTAAAAAATGGATTATTTGTTAAACTTTTAAAAAGTATACAACAATTTCACCATCTGTACATCCCATTGAGAACACACACACCACTCCTTTTCCACCCGGTGATAGTACAAGTGGAAGGACACGCCATCGAAGGACATGACTATGACTTTCTCAGTTCTATTCTACATAGTCCAAACAACAACAATCTGATTTTTAAATGCAGACACACAGAGTGTGTTGTTTTTAAGAGAAAGACTATTTCAAATTGTTTTTGGTCTGAAAAAAGGTTCACCATTTTTATATTCAATATTTTCCAAAAAATGTATCAAATTGTTTTTTAAATGGTTGCATTTAAAAATGTTCTATTTTAAAAAAAACTCAATATTTTTGAAAAGCATGTGTTAAAATGATGATATTAGAAAACCCTCATTTATAAAAATATCAGAAATTAAAATTTTTTACTTTCTAAAAAGAAAAAAAATCATGTTTTCGCAAAAAATGAAAAATAAAACCAACTGACAGACAATTCCATGCACAACTACTCTTTCATCAAATGAAGGACGTTTTGCTCTAAAAAGGAAAAACAAATGAAGGACGTTAAGGTGGCTTCTTCACATCCACACATCTTACTCCAACGACACACACAAAGCAGATTTTGTGATTTTTTTTGGTCCGTTGCATCGCACGGGCATTTGTACTAGTTACATCAAAGATGGATAT